TAAGAGTAGTCAACCGTTACTTGAAGAGTAGTTAGAAGGATGAGAGAGATTAACTGTTCTCGGTGGCAGGCAATGTAACAGCAAGGCCAAAGGTTGTGGCATGGGAGGTTCAGATCAGCCTCCAGGAAAACATCCAGGAGAAGGGTGCGGCAACAGTGAAACAAGTTACCTGGAGAAGTGCTACAGTCTCCATCGTGGAGGTTTTCAGGACTCAGCTAGACAAAGCCACTCTGACCTATCTAGCACAGGGAATAGTCGTGCACTGCGTGGGAGATTGGGCTAGAAAAAATCCCTTCCAATAAGCATTTCTGTGATCTAGGAAGCTTCATAAAATACAAGCTATGGGTGAGAAACGCTGGCAACCAAAATCCTCTTCATTTCTGCAACAGAATATACTGATTTTTTCCCATGAGAAAAAAAAAATGGTCCTAATAAACTGTATTTAGGTGCCCTTCTGTGGACTTGATGATCCTTATGGGTCCCTTCCAACTTGAGATATTCTGTGATTCAAGTTATGGGAAGGGGGGAGGAGCGAGTGAACGGCTGCGTGGTGCTTAGGTGCTGGCTGGGGTTAAACTACGACACCTTCTCACATACATTTAAATAAAGGCCCTGTCTGTAATTCCTCTTTTCAGGTACAATACTTGTGGCTTTTATATGGGATGAAATTCTTCCTCGGCTATCCTGAGACATCAAATTCTGAGATCTTGCAGCACTACATTAAAAAATACTTTCAACATCTGCAGACATGAAGCTTTCAGAAGACTGTTGACAGCGACTTCCACACCACCTTTCAGTTCTATTTTCAGATTTCGTGTTTGAAGTATTTGACTTACAACTTTGTGTTCAAATACTTATTTTGTAATAGCATATTGGGATTTTGAGAGTATCTGCCAACATTTTCAGTTAAGCCATATGAACATGAAGGACTGTTAAAACATAGAAACTGTCACTTTAGCCGTAAGTGCCATTTGCAGACCTCTATTACAACAGCATGCAAAACTAATTTTAGAGAAATACTCAGTGCTTTCAAGGTTTGATTTTATTGGATTTCTTCCCATAGAAGGCACCTGCAAAAAAGGAGCTGAAGATTTCATTCTTATAGTGACCTCATCCTATTCCTACTTGCAATATATGTACCTCTGAGAGGAAGAAAGGCTACACTACTAGAAGGAAGGCTACTCCCTAGAAGAGTCTCCACAGCTCTATTCTAGAGGTACCTTACAGTAAAAGTAAAAATCTGTAGGACCAGCATTGTTTTATTAATACCTGAGTGCAGGTAAGTAACCCCTCGCTTCCTTTTGGGAAGGCTCTGCCCCATCCGGTCCCGCTGTAGTCCGCTGAATGTTTATCTTGGTTGGAAAGAGGGGTAATAAAGTACCATAAAATTCTGTCGACACACACATAAAAAGCCATTTTACGCCAAAAAAAGCCCCCACAAACCCAGACCCTACTTTATCTAAGATTACTGCTGCCTCTTCACATGGTAAAACAGACACAGTATATAGGGATAAATCATGTGGAACTTGATTTGTCCTTGATTATATGTAATTCTTATCAGATATTTTTCTTGAAATAAAATTTGCAATATAGGACAACAAATAAAACAGCGAAAACCACAGGAAAGCTACATATGCACACTGGCACAAACGTGCCCTTTATAGTCTCAGCTGAGGAGACCACCACCGACAGGTACCATCCTCTGCTAGCATCAAGTTTCTTCCAGATGCATCTTGATTTTTGTATATGCCAAAATACATTTTTTTCAAATTTAAGACTAAATTCAGTTTTTCATTCTATAGTTACTAGGTTTGAAAGGAGAGATGGTTAACAAGTTCTGCAAAAATCCCAGTAGCAGGCCCCTCGACTGATTACCCAAGTCACCGTGCAGACCATATTCTAAGAGGAAGGGAGGGAATCAGACAAGGCTTTTTGCACAGCAAAATTATGAACCAAGTCTTAAACAGCTACTCTTGTCAGCTATCTTTTTTGCAAGAGTTCGGGAAGTAAATATTTTCATGTAATTTCTTACTTGTTGCAATAAAATCTTGTCTTGTTTTTAATTTTCCAAGGTACGCTTTAAGATTATCTTGCAAAATTAAATCAACTGTTTCAAAATGCTTTTCATACAAGAGAGTCTTAATCCATGACCCTGTATTCAGTCATTAAAATAAAAAAACTAGCACGGAAGAGAACTACAACTGCTGGGTTGTCAGTCAGCAGCCCCTTGATACTAGTGTGAGTAGGCCTACTAAAAAAAAGAAACTTATCTTTGGTAAAACTCTCCATGGCAAGGACTACACAACGCTGCACCATGAGCGTGATAAGACATGACCCTTTAGCTGGTTTTATATTCCTCTGCTTATTTATATATTATATTCATCTGGTGTATTTAAGCCCAGTTTTTAACCCTGATTTCTTATGGAAATGAGTCTTACATAATGAGCTGATTTGCATGTCTCCTTTGAGCCCATGAGGCCCACAGGGTAAAGGTCTCAAAAATAAACCCCAAAGAGCATAAAAACAGGCAGCCAGGGAAAAGAGAAAGCAGAGATACAAACCTACAGGCAGCTGAGATTTGTTAGATTAGAGACCCTACTTCCACGTCATTTTTGATGGCCTGCAGAGTCCATAAAGCAGAGGTCAGATCTGACTTCTGTATATCTACACTGTTTATTTTGGCATAACATAGTTTTTAAAAAAATTGGTACAAATCTGGGTGATTAACAAGTAGTTGCTCTATTTATAGCCACTAGAATTAGAACATAAAATAAAAAGAAAAATCACTAAGAAATAGAGAAGACTTAAATTCACTAAATTAAGGCAAAACAAAAGCAAAACCCAAAAAGTAGTCAAAGGAATGAAAAATAAAACTAAGTTAGGAACAGAAGAATTTAACTATTTTTGGTAGTACAGACAAAAATTAATATTTTACAAAGTAATGAATGCTTATGAAGTATACGTGTTCTGGGAACACTTACACGTAGCTTAAATACAATCAATCCACACGAGACACTTCTCAACACTACCTTCAGGGTTTATCCAGGTTTGTTTCCACCTCACCAAAATTAATCTTGCTCCATTGATTTGACTGGGAACATCATAAAATGTCTGCTCCTGGAGCTCTGCATTAGTACAAAACAAATTCTCCTTCTGTAGCTTCCTACTGCTTGGACATAGAGTGAGACTGCCTGTAGTCCCTGCCCAGGAGATGTAACGGGTAGGCTGGAGTTTAATAGGGAAACCAATGGAAAGACCCCACTCCAACAACTAAGATTTACACCAAAAAAAAACAAAAAACAAAACCAAAAAACCCCAGTCTGCTTTAACGATGAATGGCAATTTAGAATTGTATGAGCCTTCTCTCCTAAACTATGGTGCTGGTACGAGTTTTAGCTGTCCCAAAATCTCACCATGTAAAGGTTCTCCAAATCCCACTGCAAAAGTTAAAGCGACACACTGTATCCTCCTTTGTTACTTTGTATCTCTAACAAAAACATGCATACATTTACATAAATATATACATATGTATATGAAGGGGCTAGTAAAGACATTTCTGTGGAATGTTGTCTTGTATAACATGCTAAATACCTAATTTATTCAGCAATGTCAATAGTTCACAAGACTACTCAATCATTGCTAATTTGACTGGCATTCCTAATGAATATTGACCAAAAAGTGGTTATAACTTTCACATACCGTGAAACCAAACCATATCCCAATGTGCTAAGCAGGGCAGGACCACTCAATACGATTCCAGGAGCGTAAGACTAGTAAAGAAAACTCTTCATATACCAACATAATTATAATGAAAAAAATTCACAAGTCAACATCAAATCAAATGAAAGCAGAAAAAGTTTAGTACCAGACTTTCATTTGAATATTGGGGGGAAAAAATAAATGTAATTTGCTGCCATTGCCCCATGGCAAAAACACCACCATGCAGAGAGATGAAACAGGAAAAGCTCCAGCAGGACTAAGCTCTTGGCAATCTAAAGCTGGATTCCTAAGTTTGGGATGTGTCAGACTAATTCTGTCTTAGAGGCACACTCTGCACATATTCTGCCCTTTTATTCTTACATCCAGGTAAGTGCGGAAAATGGCTTCACTGGACTTTTTTTGTGATAGAAGAGTGCTAAAAACTCAAGGGACGTCAGCGCAGAGTTGCCAGCTGCTTGCTCAAGTAAAGGACTGAGAACTGCAACACAGGGTTGGTTGTGAGATACAAAAATCTTAGTTTATTTAACAATGTTGTTAACATTTAATACAAAGACACAAACCAGTTCTCTTTTTCAGACTTTACAGACTGTATTCCATCTCCTCTACCACCCAAACTCCGCTCTCAGAGAAATGAAAGGGATAGCACTGAACTGACAAAGCCAGTTACTTGAGGGGCATTAAATTTAACTTTGCTTTTAATCCTTGGCCAACTCCTTTTATTTCCTTTTAGCTGAACTTTGTAACATTTCTATTTCCATTCTAGCCCACTGATGCAATGAACAGGTACAAAAATATGGAAAATTCTAGGACAATCTAAAATTCTGTTCTACTTACAGTTTTATTTCCGAAGTCCTAGAATTCCTAAAGGCTTCTTTGAAACGCCCCCTGATTAGCCCCATTCAAGTGTTAGATGCAAGAGGTTTTATTGTTTTTTGTTGTTTTTTTTTTTTAAATAACCCCATAGTGGTCACAAATGTCAAACCCTGTTTTAAACACCTGTAAAAGCATTTATAGACCTAGATGTCTAAGCTTAGGTCATTAAAAGAAAGGTTAACTCCCGATAGTCACTGCAATGCCTTCAATTTTACAGCTTATTCTGGAAGTGCCACAAGAGGAATCTGAAAGATACAAGACACCAAGTTTACATAATTGGCATTAAAATAAAAGGTTATTAATCTTTACAAAGTAGTAGCTACCCGTTGTTTGCAGTCACAGTTTGCACTTCACTGCAAACCCACTAATTGTCAGAAGGACGGAGCATCTTTGACGCAGGTCAGCTAAGGACAGCGTGCACTTACAATCTGCAGTTGTAAGCCTATGCCCTGGAAGGCTATGCTGCACCGCCACACACAGACACACCAGTTGCTTCCGAACAATTCCTGCAACCTCATGATGTGACAGACAAAACACCGCTTATTACGAGGCCAGTGGAAATGTCCCACATCAACCGTCAGCAAGTCTTCCAGGAGCTTCAGCGGGCAACTGTCACATCTCATTTGGGTAACAAGCAGTAACATGCAACATAAGCATCCCACAAGGGCATCGCTTTAGAGGCAGGGCAGCACCTTGATCTCTAAAGGATGACCAACAAGATGTTCTTGTAGATCGTTGTTGCAGTTCAGAAGGTTAAAAGGGCTGAGCTGCCCCACAGAGTACCGAGAAGATGACAGTGTGCCCCCTCTCTGCCCCTATTTCCAGAGTGTAGAACCAAGCCACCCTCATGCTTGAGGTGATTAGCACAGACCTGCAAGAGCTGTTCGTGTCACTTCGCCCCTTCAGTTGTTCACTGCTGCCGCATATCCGGGGTTTTTGAATTTAGTTGAATGAGATCACCGCAGTCAGGCTGGTGGTTACTTTAAAAAGGCCCATCACGCCCACAGCTCCCAAATTACTACCTGGAGCAACGCCATTACAACACTTGATGCTGCACGTGCAGATCCCTTGATCTGCCCTGACAGGGATCAGCTCCTGAGCTCCGCTCAGCGCAAGCAGAAGGAGGGAAGGACTCCCTCTATCCAGTCGCCTCTCGCAGCTGTAATCTCCCACAGCCACCTCCCACACCGTGGAAGACATGGAGTAAGCAGCAAGGGGGGAATTCCACTGACCACAACTACTTCTTACAGGGTGTATTTTGTGCTTTGCTAGAAGATCAGTCAACACCACTCCCACCAGCGCTTTCAAGCTCCTTAGAGATCTGCTAACAGCCACTAACTCTCCTTAATCCTGCTCAAGTTTAAACCAGGACAATAGGCATGCAAATTTGAAATTTCAACGGCACGATTTTTTTTTAAATTTTTTTTTATAGACCATGGACCAAAATCATCTTGAAGGTGGAGTCGTCAGAGCCAAGCTTTCCATTCACTAAGAGGCACTTTCTGCAGCTGAAAAGTTTTCTCTAATTTTAAAATGTGTCCTTTATCAAATAAGATAACTGTCCAGTGGCGGGGCAACCACTATCTTGACTTTTTTCGGAAGAATTCCTCTCTGTACTGCAAAGTCTTTCCCAGGGTAGGAAAGAGCAACTGCAGAAAAGTTTGAGCTCTTACACCAGACAATAAAGACTAATTCAGAACCAGTGGCAGTGGTTGAGATCAGAAATCTCAGAAAAACAGAATTTCAGAAATTCAGAAACAAAGGAAAATAAGCAACGGAAGAGGAAAGTGATGCATATCACCCCTCCGTAAGGGCCTTTCTCGGGGACTGCAGCCTCCTTCTCAGTGACACTCTAATCCCTAAGCAACTACTTCTGACCCATTTCCATTGATTTTTTTCAGCGTGTCATCTTCCTATTTGTGGCCCTTTCCTCCCCTGCCCCTTTTCCCTTTTTTCTCCCCCAAGCTTTTGGCTGTCTGCCCCACAACTGTTTTCTCCAGCGTTTCAAGCGGGACAGTTCTGCACTCACTTTACGGTGAGAGCTGACAGTCTCACTTCCGAGAGAGGCAGAAGACCTGCGACAACGCACCACCCCTTGAGCGGCACGTGCGAACCGTGCACAAGCAAGCAGTGCTGAAGCAGGGGTGGAATCACAACCCGCCTGCTCGTCTCCGCCAACACAGTCCCAGAATAAGCTGCTCTTCCTTTCCCACCCAGCGCCACAGAGGAAACACTGGGACATCTTGTAATGCCACTAACGGGTGGAGAGCAGCACAGGTGATGGTAGGCAAGAGGGCACACCGGCACAACCACCCAAGCAGGGTGTTTGTCTCGTAAGTTGTGCACTTCTGACAACAATCCCATCCAGATGGCTCGGTAACTTTACCGGGAATTGTTCCTGCTCCACTTACAGTGAAGGAAGAGATGGACTTGCAGCGCTGTGAAGTGTTCTGCCCCCTTGAAAGGCTTGGGAAATCTTGCACTCTAAGGGCGAAATAACGGATACTAAGGACAGTAACTTCCCAGCAACGGCTCCAGTGTTCATCTACCAGCATCCAAGAGCCTTTGAGACTGGACAGGTCTTAATTTACCAAACAGCTGACCTGTCTTCCAGACAGGCACGTCCGTGCAGGTTACCCACGCAGTGTGGTGGTTTGTGCTGATAGGCAACTTTGGACAGATAACTGAACATCTGTCCATACTCGTGATAACTACAGCTACCTTTTCCTTCTCTAAATCACCATCACCCTGGTATCAAAAGGTACTTCCTATAGAAGATCTGGGACCATTTGCATTACACAAATCACAGAGACAGAAGGCCCTGCAGGACTGAAAAGTGTTGGTGTTGGAAGACAGAAGAACTTACAGCAACAGCGTATGTCCTCCTCAGTGATCGACTTCTGCGTCTTCAAACTGCCCCGCAACTACTGGTGCTACGTCCACCTCCATCCCATCTGAAAAAAACCCAAACAGCCAATGCTAGGTAACACGGCAGGCTCACAAGGGATAATGGTACCTCAAGAAACACAGGGAGTGCCCTCTGTTGACAACAGATGGCCAGGACTGAAAACTCCCTTGCTGAACTTCTGAAAGCAACCTAAGGAAACGCTGATGTCCTCACAAGTTTGTGATTTTGTTCCAGCTCTATCAGTCGGTCACAAAGACATCACCACTTCCTACAACCTAAGATCACCCTATCTTATTAAAAGACTTAAATACCAGATTTAAACTATTTCACTTTTTAAATGAAATTTCAGTGTAACAAATGGCATGATTCCTTTTAATAGCTTAATTATGCTCTAACAGAGAGAGGCTGGATCCTGTTCTGAAACCACTCTTAGCAATCATCAAGTTGAAAAAAGGAACAATTGGTCTATGCTACAATGTCAAAAAAATAACAGATTCTGAAATTGAGCAGCCCTGGGGATATTAATAATTGTAGCAGATCAAGAAGCAGTACCATAGCAAATAAGATTAGGAAGGCAAATAAAACTGATTAAGATGGCTTTGAGACACGTGACATACTTGCTGTTCAGTTTATTTTAATTTTCAAAATTTTGGGGTTCTGACAAAACCTGACAAAATTTTCAAATGAAGGGCACTGCTAAAACACGAGTGTATCACCTAAGGTTATCTTTACATTATATAAATTCAAAGTTGTGGAACAAAGAGAACTTGTAAACCACTGACAAAACAAATAGATTAAAAAAATCATCCATGTGGATGAGAACAGATTAGTTATTATTCTGTTGACTATTCTAGGCAAGCTGATAGCTAGAAATCCACAACAGCTGCATCATTTTTCATCCTTCAAAAACGTCAGGCTGTACTAAAACAGTGCGATTTATATTAAAAAAAAAAAAGAAGCAATACTACTAAACTACTTCCCTGTTCTTCTCCCAGGTAATGTATTGCTCCAGTGAAAACAGCATGCAGAAAAGGCAAAATTTGAGAGATCAGGTTTTTTTCCAATGGAAAAACCCTTACTCCTTAAATACGTTTGAACAATCAGTAGCATTAAGAGACAGCAGCCTTCAGAAAAGCAGGTTTGTTTCTTTTTTAAATCTGTACCAGTGTATTTCAATGATTCTGAATTCACACTGAACTCTTTAAATAGAATTATTAACTTACAATTTAGGGTATTTAGAAGAAAAAAAAAAACAACACAACAAACCAACCCCAAAACCTATTACCTGTTTAGAGTGGAAATTGCTTCCTAATCCCAGTGCAGAGTGACAAGTTTAATTTTATTTTAATCCTAAATCAACTTCACCCTACCACTCTTCCAGGAAATTATACCAGTAAGAATCAAGAATCCTTAACGCAGTGGTCCTCATTCTTTCACACAGCAGCCCTCAATCCACAGCAGGCAACAGGCTGCCCCTAGGACCACAGGCATTTTTATAACCTGTGCTTATGAACAAAGACAAAACCGCTGTTGATGCACACAGTGTGGTTAGGTATCACCCACTGCACGATACTTGCTTAGTCCTGGCATTTAGGGATTAGTCAGACCGGAGAGCCACTCCTTTCATATATTCTTTAGTAAAAGAAAAGCATTTCTTACCTTCAAACTCCCTTATCGAGTCTTCTGTTCTCACTCCAGCCATGTTGTACTGACTGCTGACCGACTGGGCCAACATGCCTTCTAACCTCTCCAGAGTGGCCTGACCTTCTGCAGTTAAATGCGACAATCCTTCTTCGTAAGTGTAAAAGGTCGGGATGTCACCTTGTTCTAGCTCTGCAAAAACAAGTTTATGTTTATCAGACCGAAGTTTAAGAGCCTTCATCAAGCAGGTGTGGAGAAACAGGACAAAAACTAGGCAAGTTATGCTTAGATTAACTGACTGAGATTAAAAGGCTGCTTACATCTGTTACAGAATATATACAGTGGTGGGAATTGACCACATCACAACATGGGCACTGAGCTTGTGCTAGCACATCCACGGGGAGCAGGAAAGGCTGATATTTGTGTCTTGGGGCTTTTGAGAATGAGAACAATGTTTTTGCTGAATTCCAGTGATTTGTGACAGCTAAACTACAGATTTTCTGCAGATTTCAGAGTTTTTATACTCTGCCTGCAGCAAAAAGAACGTTTTGGCAAGATGAGTAATAAACAAGGAACTTCTAAACAGACCAAACCATTCCTATGACAGGTACCAGGCATCCAAGTGCTGGCAGGTATTTCAAAAGAAACAACTGTTACAAACCGTGGGCTTCAACATCGTACTCCTCCCCTTCGTAATCATCATCCGAATCTTCATCGTCTGGGTCTGGGTGCAGAGCTTGGCATTCACACATCGCTGAAAACATGGCTTCCACTGCAGGAACACAAACGAACACAAGCTTCCCTTGTTTCTCCACTACTACCCCACAACAGCAGGCAAGAAATCCTGGACTAAGTGATCAAAGAGACTGAGAATATTCCTTTACCAGAACCACCACTGAATTCATATTTGAAAACGTCATCCAACAAGGCAGCAGCTGCACAAGAAACAAATCAGGTTTCCTAGATCCAGCCTGGTGCTTCATCCTCTTAACAGCACTTTTCCATTATTTCATTGACGATGAAGCCTTATCTCTGCACAATGCAGTCTGTGCTTACCCACTACAGGATTCCTTGCAGCATCTAATACATAAGATTCTTAAAACTTGGATCTAACTATAAGCTCCACACCCAACGGGATACAACTGCTTTCCAGCGGTAGGGTCTGGACATTAGTGTGTTCCTAATGAAATTGTCACTGACTCAAACGTCACTGAATTTGCAATTAAAAAGATGTGTCCCATACAAGTTCTCTGCAAATGTATATAGGTAAGATTACTTACGTCATGTATTTATACTTAAAAGCCTCAATTTTAAAGCAGTGGAATTTTCCTTGAGAAGCAGTTGCTTGAAACATTCCCACTTCAAGCAAGGTAAACCAATTTGCTTTGTTCTTTTCAGCACACAGAAATCAAGTAATTAGAGAAGGACACTAAAGGATCACATCATTTACATCTCTATACCCCAGTTTCTTCCACATATAGCCAGGACTTTAATCTAAAACATGATTTCCTTCTTCACTTACAGGCTGATTTGTCGCTAGGTACAAATCTGAATTCCGCAATTGGTTCAACATCGTCATCGCTGTCTTCCTCCTCCCCTTCAGCCATGGGAGCCTCTTTTGTCTCTTCTTCTTTAGGAAATTGAAAGATTTAAGAGAAACGTGTTTATTTTGTCCTAAAAAGTCACGTTTGTATATTCTTCCAGGAACACAAGTAATCAAATCGGAAACCTGGATGCAACCTGAGAGAGGCACAAACCAACCCACTCCCACCCACATTACGAATACATGGGGCCCTCTCACAGCACCCCAACAACACTTGCAACGCACACAAAAACTTCTCTATGGTCACATGATGTATTCACGTACTTCAGGAAACCTGCCTGGTTCTTATTAAAAACAACCATTCTCAAAAAACCCACCATTCACAATCATTATCATTTACTTGCACACTAGTATATATGCATTTTTTTAAATCACATGAATTTTACGGATCTGTAACATTACTGTCATGAAATCAGCTAGCTTCCAGTGTGGCCTCTCACATTTCCAGAAGATCTCTACTCAATTTCTGACATTCCTAGCCAGCCAGCAAGATGTCAGAGGTAGAAAGCACACCCAGAGCCAGTGACAGCTACGGACAAAACCATGCTTCCTGACTTCTGTGCACTACGCACATGAATAAGTAAGCAACAACATGATGTTTTACTTTCCATAAATATCAAAACCACAAAGAAGATGGCTATAGTTCAGTGCTTTGTGGCTCAGGACACTGCACCGACGGCCTCAAAAGTGCATAATTATTTTCTACAGAAAAAGAGGAATACGGTTAAGGCTGTTCCACTGAGAGTGGCTTTTATCACATACAAAATTGGCACCACTAAGAACGTTAAGAAGCCAAGAAGCTGCCAGCCGGCTGCCCCAAAAAATGAAATGTCCAAGGAAGCTACCCAGTCCTTTTCCAATTACACCCGCAGGCACAGCTTGTTACTGCTGAGTCCGGCTCTTTGCTTTCCATGAAGTCAACCTCTGACTGCCTCTTTCTAAAAAAGGGGCAAGGATAAGGCACATACACGCAGAGAGCACAACAAAAAACTTCCAGAGGAAGAACAAAATGTACCCTGCCCAACTAAGACTGAAGACTCCTGCAGCCAAAGTAGTGGAGAGGTTTGGGTTTAACACTGTTCAGCAGTTAAAACAGCAGGCCAGGGATAGACTTTAAAACTAAACAAACCTACTTGCTGTAGCAAATTTACTGTAGCCAGAGTTCATTTATTAAAAAAAAAACCCTCACATAGAACAAACACTCCCCCCCCAAATTCAATCTGTTAAGGATTTCTAGATAAGAACTATCACAGGATGTCCATATTTTCAAACACCATTATCAGAATGAATTAAAAGCTATAAACAGTATCTTTCTTCAGACTAGGCTCAGTTTACTTCAAAATAAACACAGTTAAAGGAAAATGAGGAAGAAGAAACAAGAGGTGTATGTACCTGTCCTCTTATTATTTGTAGTGACAGGCTGTCAGAGAACATCAGTAACGTGAGAGAAGGAAATAATGAAGAGTATTAATAGCTTAAAAACACCTCTGCCTCCTCAGAGTCTTGTCAGTACTTTCAGTATACAGACTATTTAAAGAAAAATTAAATGCCAGATTTTAACCTTTGACAACTATGTTTAGAAGGCATGAAGGGGAAAGGAGACCTGCTCAAGACTCAACACTTCAATTGAGATGGTAGTTTATGACACACTTAAAATATTAAGAGGTCTGCCAGAAGAAAATAACCTGATACATCAAAAATATAGAAACTCTTCATACAAACAATGAAACAGAAAGCTTGCTTTCTCTAGGTCAAAGCAAGAATGGTCAAAAGGTTGCATTTGTGGTAAATCTACAAAGATCCATTAAGCTTGGTAACATGAGCTATGTGGTTTTTGTGGGTTTGGGTTTTTTTTAAGCAAGCTGTGCGAGAAAATGAATGAAAGCTTCCAGGCTAATGTGAAACAGCAGTAGTTCATAAAGCCTGGAGAGGGTAGCAACATTAACATAAATTCAATAAAGCAAAAATGATACCTAAGCTGGAATCACAGAGAGACTGCAGAGGAACTACATTGTTTAAAGTGAGTATAAGAGAGCAGAGAACCAATTCTCGGCGGCTCCAGCTGTACAGAGCCGCATGCTGAGAGCCGAACAGCACAGAAGTGACTCTAAATAAGGGCAAAGCTCTACTTCTAAAATAACCATCCTTCAGAGAAATGAAAAAGAAAACACAAGCTATTACTTAAATGAAGCATATCATTTTTAAAACCAGAGTTTACTCTTTTTGAGTAAAAGAAGAAATCACGCCACTCCAAACTGCGTGGGAGCACTAAGCAACACTGCGGGCATACCTTTGAATTTGGCATTCACCATGACGTACAAGTGCTCCCATGGGTAGGCGTTCAGGTCCCTGGAGACAGCATGTAAACTTATGGTGGGATAATCCAAGGAGAAGCCAACTCCAGAGTTTTCCAGCCAAGACAGACGACTAACAAGGAGGGAGGGGGGAAAAAAAGAAAAAGAGTCAAGTTAGAAACTAACAGAGGAATCTAAGGTACTTGACTTATGCCTGCAGAAAAGCAAACCAACCCCAAAAAAGCGTGTAATTCTGGACAAGACGCTTACCTGACTCTCAGGTAATACACGGTCCTGGAACTGCCCTAACAGGACTTTCCAACAGCATTAACTGATGGCTGAGGTAAAACAAACCTTTTCTTAAAGAACTGAAGCAGAGCAGCCTAAACACATTTCAGCTTTATCACATTTATACTAAACCCTCAATTTCCCTCGCTCCCTCCCTCTTCACTTTCTCCTCTCTGTAGATACCTATCATCCCAAAGACAACTACAAAGGTTCCAGAGTGCGATTTATAACTCAAACTATTAAATGTTCTGTGGTTTTTCAAGATAAAGAGAACACTAAAGGGAAAGTCACTATTGTAATTTCTGGAGGATTACAGATCTGATGCAGGTATAGCCTGTATGTAGGAAAAACACCAGGTCTGTGGTCAGCAGAGCTAACAAAGCCAGGTTATGTTCCTCCTCCCCCCCCCAACTTAGGTGCTATAACCTCTGCTTTCCTGCATTTTCACTCTCATCCCTAACCACAGCAAGAGACAGCACAGGTTGTCACCACTGGGCTGTTACCTCCTGCCTATCAGAAGGATCAATGCCTTTCTAGCAGCTGAGAAATTAAACTCAAGCTAGTTTTGGGTGTCTGCGGTCAATGAGGTCACACAGCAAACAGAAATACTGAGAGGTAGAAAAAGTGAGACCTCCAGCATGTGCAAAACTCAGCGTTTCAGCAGTTTTTGTGGAGGACAAAACCAATGTCACAGAAGACTCCTCGCCTCAGGAAATCAGGCTGAGAGCAAGAGCTACTGAAGTAGGAGTGAGGAATTTCTTTCCTAGCCTCAGTCGGCCAATTCTCAATGTTTACAGCTGTTGACGTAGAATCAGTACACGGATCCAAAGCTACATTGTCCTCCCTGGTGCCCAGTTCTCCCACAGCACAGTACTCCTGCAAATGCTGGCGTTTTCTATTCATTACCAGCAAGTGACTGCGGTAAAAGCTCTGCGAAGTGCTCAAAACATGTTGGGAGGAAGCTGGCAGACTTGTGTGTGCCTCATACAAAAATCTATTGAAAGCAAGCTATGAGAAAACTCAACATTATACGTGTTGAGAGCAGATGCTGTGCAAACAGAAGCCCCTGTATCTGCAACCAAACAACTAAACAAAACAGTAACTGAAATTCCAGAGAGATTCCTCTCCAAGAGGAACACAACATCACTAACAAGTTTAAATAATATTACCCATTTTAGACTATGAAGCACTTATAAAGACTTTAAAAGACAATTCACTCCTCGTTGCACGTTTTAGATGACATTTTTGTTCTAATAACACTCTTCTGCTACAGAAATATATTTAGAGTACTTTTCCACAGTTAAAGAAAATTACGTTGCTGTAATCATCAAGCTGTCTTCTTGAACTGTACAATACAGGGAGGATTTAAAGGAAACTATAAAGAGCTCAGATAACATCTTCCAGAATAACGAAACTAATTTCTGCCTAGTAAGAACATACAGTGTCGCATTATTAACGCAATGTGAGAGACTTCACAGAACCACAGCAGTTAATAACAGGAGAAAGCCAATAGCTCCGTCCGCTCCCCTGCCAACAGAAGAGAGGTGCCGTGTCGTTAATGCGCCGGCCAGCCAGGCTCCCTCGCTGTGCTGTTCCCTCTTGCCTTGTTTAAAAACGCCGTTTGGAGCAGGAATAGCGGGAACTTCCCTCAGGGCTGGTCCCTCATAGCTCTCTTTGAGGGCCTCCCCCATACGACGGCCCCCGTTATCCGAGTCCCCCACATCGCTCTTCGCGCTGCCCCCAGGGGAGAGGACCCCTCGGGGGAGAGGCCCCCACACAGGCGGCCCTCCCGGCCTGGGCTCCACCAGCCCCCAGGGAATGC